CTGGATTTGGTTAAGCTTCCTCCCCTAATTGTATGCTTCTTGCTTAAAAACTCAAAGATTTACCTAATCGTCTCCAATTTCTTACCCACCTACTTTCCCCAAATTCATAAATACTTGAAATAAAAATTGACCCCATCATTATTCTTATTTAAATTACTCCCAATCCAACAAACTCAAGCTCTTTCTTTGTTCAGTGATTAAAGTCATAAGTAAGTTGGCTAGAGTGAATGTGTTTTCCATTTTGCAGTTTGAATCTTCATTCTAGTAGTTTAAATCATATTATTCTGCAGTTTGAATCTCCATTATAGTAATTTAAATCATATTAAAGTAGAATATCGCTTATATTAAAAAAAAACATATTTAAAGTCATAGAATAGCAGTGCCCATATAGGGACCTTAGAGCATGGCATGTCATGTCCAAGATTTACCATGACATGCATAACTTTTATTTTATACTTTTGGAATATTGTCTCCGAATGTAGTTTTATATAGATTGGGAGTTAGTAATAGAGGCGGGATGGTCAGAAGGGTAGCAATAGCTCCTTGACGAGGAAGTTTTGAATGTGACAGGTCAACATTTACGTGGTGTTATAAATTTACTTATATTATAATATATATTTTATTTATTAATATTATTATGAAATATACATCGATGATACATTCATATTATAAGTAAATTTATAACATAATATTTTAATGTGATAGTCACGCACAATTTTTCCTGCTTGACCAAGAAGTGTGTGCATTGAGAAGTAACCATGCCTACGTGAACAATTTTTTCCTTGTGGCATACTGGCTTATTTAGAATTGGTATGTCTCACTTCTCTTAAATTTACTAACATACGGGTATTAAAATATTTCAATTCTTGATTTTCATACGTTTAACATATAAGTAATTAAACCCTACAAGACTTAGGAAACAGATTAATTTGAAATGATTTGATATGATATTCATTAATTCTTTCCCATATTCTTAATTTCCTGATTTTTTTTTTTTTTTTTGGTTGGGGTTAATTTCCTGATTCTTTTTTTTTTTGTGTTGGGTTAATTTCCTGATTCTTTTTTTTGTTTTGTTGGGGTTAATTTCCTGATTCATACAAGTGTTACGTGCAACTATTTAAAAAATAATAATAGAAAATACCATATAGTTTCCTACACAGAACCGGGAAAGCCGAAACGCCTCCTACAGCAAATCGGGTTACAGATCCCAACTCAAGCTCTGGTGCATCAAAATTGAAAATCCTCTTCAACGTTAATAACAAATATTTAAGGAAAACAAGCTCCTCCTCCGCTCTCTCTCTCTCTCTCTCTCCTCAGCCCCCTTTTTTTATTTTGTAGCGGGAACACTTGATATTTGTCTAGACAGATTTTCTGGTGCGTGCTTATTTGAAATCGACCCCCTCTTCCTAAGCGCTTATAGGGTTTTGTTCCCTCCCTTCAAATCTCTGTGATTTTGAAATCGAACCATTCTCTTCCTCTAATTTTTGTACCTTTTCTTCGGACCTTAAGCAAAACCCTAACTTTTGGTTCCAATTGCCTCGCATTTAGGGTTTAAGTGTCGCCATCTGATTACTCATTCAATCCGCCCACCAAAAATTTCAAATTGGTTGTGTTTGCTCTAAGATGGCACTCTTTGGATGAGATGTGAATTTCTAGGTCTTTTTGTGCTCTGGGTTTATCAATGGGAGCACTAACCAGCAATCGTAAGCGAGGGGACGAGTGTTTGAGCTTGAATTCTGCACACCCATCTCCGTATTCGCAGAATTTTCAAATTTCAAAGCGACCCAGATTCTCTTATATGAAGCAAATCCCGGACCGGCCCATATTATCTTCCAATAGCGTCGCTTCGAGGGTCTCTCGGTACCCAGATATAAAGCCGCCACTGACGAGAGTTCACGCCCCTTGTAGAACAGGCAAATTCGGGTTCTTCTCGAACAGAGAAGATTCGAGCCCAAAAACCAGAGGGGTTCATGAGAAGGAGCGGTCGGGTGTCATAATGGGCAGTGTATTGTCTTTCCATTTGGAAAAGGCGAAGAGCAGGGCGTTAGATACATTCCGTTATTTGAACAAGGGCAAGGAGGTGATTGAATTGGATGAAGAGGTTGAAACTGACCGAGTTTCTGAGGATTCGAGCATAGAAGAAGTTCTGGCTATAGAGGAAGATGACCGAGAAAGGCCTTCTGTGGTGGATTATGTGCAGGAATTGGATACGAAGATGGTGGGCTGTGGACCTCAGGGTACTCAGCCATCGGCTTCTTCGGTGGTTTCAGACTTGACCACACTGACGAATGGCCCTTTCAAAGTGGACAGTGCAGGAAAGATGTTGGACTCATTATCGCTAAATCGAGAGGTGGAGGTGCCGAGTGTGGTAGTGTACAAGCAGTTGCTTGAGAGTGTAGAAAGGCGGACTCCGAAACTTGAACATTTGCATTCCCAAATTGAGTTCAATGTGAGCAAACTGTCTCTGTTTGAATCGCTGCGTCCACAAAAGAAACCAGTGAAGGTGAATTTCTTTTCGTTAACTTGCCACCTGTTTTGAAGTATCATTTGCAGTGTTAGTATACTAAAGTTTACAGCCTGTGGTAAGTAAAAATTGATGATGAATTTATCAACAGTCTTCTCTTAATAGTTAAATCCTTTTCTTTTTAGGTTGTACCCGATGAACCCTTTGTTGCTCTTCGAAAGGAGGAAATGGCTGAGGTTGAGCAAGCATTTTCCTCTGCCAATCGGTATGGTTTGATACGTATTCTGTTTCATCTTTGAATTGGTTTAGTTGAAACTTGAAAGTATAACAGTGTTGGGGTTCATACAGGAGGAGAGTCTTGGTAACTCATGAGAACTCAAACATAGAGATCACAGGTGAAATGCTGCAGTGCCTTAGACCACGTGCATGGTTGAATGACGAGGTATTTTCTAGGTTACATTTGTACTTTTTTGTTAAATTGCAATAACAAAAAAAAAGTTTTCATTGCATTTTGTTTTTGTATGGTTCATGTGGGTTTTTCCAGGCTAGCCTAGCTGGTAATGTGATTGATACATGTGCATTCTTTTCCGTCCAGGTCATAAATGTCTACTTTGAGTTGCTGAAAGAGAGGGAAAAGAGAGAGCCACAGAAGTTCTTAAAATGTCATTTCTTCAACACATTTTTCTACAAAAAGGTTTGTTCCGGGCAGTGGTTGTATATGCATAAGCTGTTTAGTTTTCCTTTTTGTTTTTACTGTCAGAAGAATATTTATTGATTTCATTAATTTGTTGTCTAGATAAGTGCACTGGTATGAATACGTGAGATCTTGTCACTGCAAAAACTATAAAGCTCTAATGCATGTTCATTGTCAAATAGTCTCATACTTCTATTTCATCATTTAATTATTAGGACTGTTTGTTGAGTTGGATTTGTCAAAAGCTTTGATCAATTTGGCCTGAATTTTTTATTAGGATGAGTCTCATTTGAGTTTTGGCTGAGTTTTTAGACCTGATTTGAAGTTCAGGATGAATCAGCATGATATAACACCAACCTAAATTGTACCCATTTGTTTCTTTCTCATTTGTATACATATATTACATTTCATTAGGCCCGAAGATTGGGCTGGGCTGAGAGCTCAGCCATGTGCTTATTGGGCTAACCTCAGGCAAAGTCTGTCAGCTCAGCCCGTGCAATTCACACTCCTAGTAATTATTTGCCTAGATTGGGTAACCATCTTTGCTGTTGGATTTAGGATATTGATTTCTATATTAGCTACTCTTATTTTACTGAAATTGTATGTGCAGTTGATAGGTGGGAAAAGTAACTATGATTATAAATCCGTCAGAAGGTGGACTACCCAAAAGAAGCTGGGATACAGCCTCATCGATTGTGACAAAGTAACTTCATTCAAACCTTCTTCATTGTACATATACACAGTTTAAGTGAAATTACATTTATTTCATAAGTTGTTTTCTTCTCAGATATTTGTTCCCATCCACAAAGAAATACATTGGTGTTTGGCAGTTATTAACAAGGCAGAGGAGAAGTTACAGTATCTTGATTCACTCAAAGGAAGAGATACCCAAGTGATGAACAGATTGGTATGCTTTGTAGTCATATTCTGTTCGGCTGTTGATATAATTTATTGATGATGCATGCAATAAAGTCAAAAAGTCTGTTACACAAAATGTCGGTCCTTGACAAATACCCTTTCACTTTTTCTTGTGGGAAGGGGGTGACGGGCAGTGATGCTTAGAAAAAATAAAATCTTGCCATTAGCGGTTCGTGTAATTTCCTGTTACTCGGACTACAACATCTGTTTGAATTGATTGGGTTCTTTGTTTGTTTGGTCTGGAATTGACTGGGTTAATGAATTTTAAAATGAAGAAAATCATCTCATCAGTCTTGCCTGCAGAACTTGATAACAATTGCCCTTCCTCCATTCTTGATGTGGTATGAAATATGCACATAGGCACGTAAAAAGTTTGCTGTGTGGACAAATATTTCATCGATCATCAGCCATCAATTAACTCTTCATCTTTGTTTTTCTTTTTCTTTTTGGATACTTATGGCAATACCTTGGTACGAATGTTTTTCAAAATGGTGGGAAAATGAATAAATTCATTAAACCGATTAAGTTGCAGCTAACTTTGACTGTTTATGTTTGACAGGCGAAATACTATGTTGATGAAGTGAAGGATAAGTGTGGAAAAGACATCAATTTGAGTTCTTGGAAATTAGAATACGTTGAAGACCTTCCTGAGCAGGAGAATGGGTAGGCATTACATGTCTAATGTTATATGTTTTCTTTTATCTTTTTCCCAAACTCTTTACAGTAAGCAAAGAGACTTATGCTAATTGAAATGTATTTTTGAATTAATTTTTCTTAACAGGTTTGACTGTGGTGTGTTCATGATCAAATATGCTGACTTTTATAGCAGGGGCTTGGATCTCTGTTTCAAACAGGTAAGGCGCTTAGAGATGCTTCTGTTGCTTTGCCACACGGAAGTGTATATTTTGTCTCCCAAGCTAAAGTATCTTTTGGTTGTTTTCATTTTTATTTTCTCGGACCTGCATTCAAACCATTAATAATGGAAAGTTATTTGTTGTCCACTTCCCAACAACGTAATTCTAGGGGGAAAATACTTGGCACTGGTTTCTTCTGTTTCTTGCTTTTACTTCTAATAATTTATTGGGAAGTAGTATGCTATAGAATGAAATGTTCTTGTATATCCTGCTCTCGGTTAACTCAACTGTTAATTAGTATGATTCAACTCTGTGTTTGTTGTCCTTGCAGGAACACATGCCATATTTTCGATTGAGAACAGCAAAGGAGATCCTAAAATTGAGAGCAGACTGATTGAGCAAGCTAGCTTTGGCATGCGGTAGTACCAATCAAGAATTAGGAATTAGAGTAACAGACGATGAATTGGGTGTGCTTGCAGGTGTGAGTCGCATGCCAGCTTCAAAAATTTTGAAATAATTTAAGATTTGTCTTGGTGAGGTGAGTTCTGTGAGGAAAGGTTAGCAGAGCACAAGGCAGAAATAGTAACTTGTATATACTATACAAGTGCGAACCTTTGATTTGTCACATATATGTTCAAAAAGTTCCATAAGCTTTCAGGTTATGCGCTAACTGAGTCCTTCTTGCTAGTTTCTTTTTGGTCCTTGTATCTTTTTGGCCATTTGCCTATATATTAGTAATTGAGTTGATCCAACAATTGTAACACAAGATTTCTGGTGAATTCTGTTCTATAAAAGAAAGTTACATTTGTTTTGGCCAGTTCGTTGAAGATTCATTTGTGCCCCTGAATTAAGTGATGGTTACTTGCCAGCATTTACTCTATCCGATAAAATAATATTTTGGTTCATGTTTATTTGGTTTTGTTTAACCTGAAAAGTAGCCAAATCCTCGGAATAATTCTGTGATCAATATTGGAATTGTATGGTACTCAAGGGGCAGTGCAAAAGAAAGGAATGAAATAAGATTATAGTCAGGATGACAGAGTAATAAACATTCTATTTCTTTTTCTTTTTTCTTTACTAGAAAATACATTGTCAAATCAAATTTCCAGTCACCACTTACACAACAGCCAAAGTCCACAACCCATAAAAGACTCGGCAAGAACACATCAACTGATCTTAAGAATTACAAATGAGAACGCAATCACCAGCAAAAGACGTGAATTGAATCCTCATTGCCGCCCTTAGCCAGAAGTCTGGATGTGAACTGCCCAGAGTCTGCAATGCCTCAAATCCCCCTCCCGCAGATCCTGCTTTGTAACTGCTGGGACCATAACAAGACAGAATAAGCAGAACTTAAAAAGGATGTTTAGTATCAATGTTTTCCACCAGATGAGATGAAAATGAAAAATATATACAAGAGAGTTCAGATTAATACAAGTAACAGTGCCGCCAACAGCGCAACGAAACAAAGTGCCTGCCTTAACGAGGTCCTCTTTTGCGACTTAGTATTTCCTGCTCTTTTAGTCTATGCTGGAATCTTGCAAGACGGGCTTGAAGGCTAACCAGACCAGCTGCCTTGCGAGAAAGCACAAAGCTCAACTGGGTCACATAGTTGTCTATTAGGCTCCCTGGTTGGTCCACTTCTGCCAACAGTTTCATTTCCTGGTAACCAAAACAACATGGGATAAGCACCTATTTACCCAAAAATACAGGATGCACACTATATAGCAGGTTGACATGACAGACAAGTTAAAAATGCCAGTTTCTCACTCCATCAGTTAACAAGATCTGTTGGAGAGGAGATCAAAATATCTTGCAAAAAAACAAAAGAAGAAAGTTTCACTTACTTCACGAACAATTTCCATCGTATCCTCAATTTCTTTTCTATGGGCAGCAATTAGGGCCTCTTCTTCCTAATACAGTCCAAAGAGCTCAAAAAATTAGCAGGGGGCACAGGATTACTCGTAAAACTACAAATATAATGACCAAAGCCAGAGTACCAACCTCGAGAATGGCATTGATATGCCCATCAGGAAGTTGAGGCTCAGATTGTTTGGATCCAACATTGCTTGAGTTATAATTTCCTGTATTTTGCTGCTTAGAACTTGTGGTGGAGAGATCAGATCCACCTTTTTTCAGCCAATTACCCAACTTTTCTGATTTTTCATCCTTGGTTACTTTCCTATGAGGTGGTGACACTTTTTGTACTTTCTCTTCTGTATCACCCGAGTTTTGGGAATAATAGAGCATCTTCTGGCTGTAAGAATCGCCATAAGAATTATTAATTTCAAATCTCTCCCTATCCATTACACCAGAAGCCACCCCGCTTTCTTCCCGAATACTAATGGGGTTACTTGATGACAACTTTGCAGGCTGCTTGTCAAACTCAACAGTCGGAATATATGTGAAACTTTCTTTCTCCACAGCTCTTCTGCCTGTATCAGCTACTTTAACTTCTTGACGTTGCTCACGGACATCCTCTACCTCAGCAGAAACCAGCGTAGATGATGTCGATGAAACATCCTTAATAGTTGGTGGTAATGAATTTACTGCTTGATCCTTTCTAGCATTGCCACCTTTTGAAAGACTTTTAACCCTGTTCGTTTAAAGTTAATCTTTTAGTCTGAAATATAAGTTTAATCATTAAGCACTAGTACAGTAATTTGAGTTGTTTAAGTTCACAATAGCATAAAGCATACCGATCCGCATATCTCAAAGTGTTAAGTGTATGCTCGCATGACCCTGCATTTGGAGAAATGCAAGATATCATAACAGTCCTTGAATTGCCAACAAAGGAATCACGGAGCACTTCTGTGAGTTTGCTTCCACGGAAAGGTATATGGATCTGGTCATTGTCCAGAGCACGAATACACTCCTTTAGAGCCAAAAGGCTCTTGTTAATTTCTGCTCCCTCAATTCTGCAATGACCCATTTTGGTTCAACAAATTCAGTAGTCAGTAAATCATCATAACAGTACTGACATTACAATGAATGTGAGAAAGAACAACGGTAGCCTAAGAAGCATTATCCTGATGGAATAGGTACAGCCAAAAACAATTTCTGATTTTCTTTAGTACAATTGACAACATGGGCCTTCTTAAAACCTGCCCAGGCGTCACACTTAGCCCAATGACGGATTTGCAAGTACAATTATATCACCAAACGCCAAAATCATAGAGGAACAAGAATAAAAAAAGGCCGATCGCCTAAAAAAGTTGGAAGATTACCTTGTTTGTCGGTCATTATCAGTGGTGTCAGCACCCCTTTCACTACCAGCAAGATCAATGAAAGAGATCTTCCCCACAACCTTCCCACTTCTAGATTCATTTCCATCATTGTTCCGCCTAGAATCTTTTACCTCACTGTGCTTTTTCACAACGAGTTGTAAAATAGCATGAGACCTAGAAGACTCTTCATTAGCACCAGTTGACCCTGTACTTCTAGCAGCATTCCCTCTCTCAATAAATTCTTTAACAATTTGTACATCTGAAACCTCAAATTCTTGCAGTCCAACAATGCAAACTTGTTGCCTTCCATCTTCTCTCATACAAAGTTTCCTATTGCAAAGAAATGAAGTCATTTATGTCATAACATAACTACAGCAGTAGACCACCAAGTGAACCAAAATTCACATACGCAGATGCATATGTGCATTATTATGCATCTCTAAAAAAATGCAAATAAATGTGCTGTCATATAAAATAAGATGATGCATAATGCAAATAGAAACAAATGCTTGCACGCAATCAGAACACCAATTCTAAAATTATACCACATAACCCAACTAGTAATAATTAGATGCTTTCCACAAACATTGCCCAAAAAATTCACATGAAATTTAATACTTGATGAAAATGGACAACTGATGCCTTAGTAACTGAAACATGACATGCTTCAAACCATTGCAACACCATTGGTAGTTACACAAATGAATCCTTCACACACAAAACTATGTGTCTTAAGCCCTGTCCTATACTCAGCTAGACCATTATTATGCACTAACACACATAGCTACCCTCTGCAATCCAAAAGATCATTCTAGAACATAGCCATCCCCTGAGGGTATCTACAAGCCTATACCTTTCCTTAAAGGAGGATGTCATGAGTCCATATCCCATTCCAATGTCGTAGCAATTTAAAGTTAAAAATTAGAAACAAACAAATAGAACAGTATTTTTGGCAAAAAAGAAACTAATTTTCAAATATCATCATAACATTAAAATAAAAGAACTAGTCAAACACAGAGATATACTTCCTCTCACTGAGAAGATCAAAGAGCTTTCCTCCATAAATCTCAAAGTAGCTAAGCCACAATTTGAATCTCTGGTTACGGTAAACTGGCTGATGTAACAATCTAACCAGGTCTTCTGCAGCCCTGATAGGTAACGGTTGCATTGTGAATGTCTTGCCACTACCTATAATTCAAATCTTGTTAGTATTTTCAGTCCAGAAGACACTTAGCATGATTGAAAAGGATCACATAGCAACAAGTAAAACCACTAAGTGGCACCAGAAATAAACCACAAACATAAGTCTCAGAACCCACCAAACAAAGTGAATAGATCTGACAAGCGTGAAAACCTGAATTTTGTCTATTGGTAACTTTCTAAAAGTATATAAAGCTAAAGGAAGGACAAACTTAGCAGTCAAACTCCAACTAGGGAAGAATAGAATATGATTTGGAATTATAATTATTTAAATATAGGGGAATGCTAGCAACCTTCTCTCTAACCTTCTATTTTGGACCTTCTCCCTTTTTTGCTTGACATGTGTCATTCTCCTTACACTTAAAACAATGTCATTAATATATTATACAAGCTAACTTTTGCTTTCCAATTTTACCCTTATTAAATGTATTCAATTTATCCCAAAAAAAATCACAACTTTCTTACCATCTTTTTTTTTTTTTTTTAACGTCAATTTTTTTATTTAAGAAAATTTCTGTTTTAAAAAAGAGAGGAAATGTCCCCTTTTTTTAACATCAAGTTTAGACCTTTTTTTTTTTAATTAAAAAAAAGGACATTTCCTCTGTTTTTTAAAAAAAGCAAATATTTTCTTTAAAAAAAGTAATTGACATTAAAAAAAAATTAATAAGATGGTAAGAAAGTTGTCAAATTTTTTTGATAAATTGAATACATTTAATAAGGGTAAACTTGGAAAGCAAAAGTTAGCTTGTACAATATATTAATGACATTGTTTTAAGTGTAAGGAGAATGACACATGTCAAGCAAAAAATGGAGAAGGTTAGAGAGAACGTTGCTAGCATTTCTCTTAAATATATATCACAAGGTCATTACTCAACCAATGATACTGCATTTCGATGACTGTCATTACACGATGAAAAGAATAAAGTTTCAACAAGGATAAACTGATAATCAAGTAGTGTATGACATGGACAGATTATATACACCACCTACCTGTTTGACCATAAGCAAAACATGTAGCCTTTGTTCGCTCAAAAATAATGGGAATAATTGGTTCTACAGTAGCCCGGTATACCTGTTTCATAAAGCATTTCAACTGGTTAAACCTTTTTTATCCAACCGAGAAACAATCATAGAGGAACATCAAAGGAAATATTAAGTCAAGATTTACACGCTTCCACGTACAAAAAGATATGTATTACCTCATCATTTGAAACATACTCATTCAGAACAGCATCAAAACAAAATTCATGCTTCTCCACGTATGCAGTCAAGTCCACCTATTACACGACCAAAAATGTAAAACCCAAAACAGAATATGTGCAAGAAAGAGACTTCAATTTCCAAAACAAAATTCGGCCAGAAATTTGAAGTGGCATCTGGTTGCTGAGAACAAACCTTTAGTTTGGGTTCGTGGACTGTCAAATAAGCATTGTCATATACAGAAACAATATCCTCCTCCTTCCGCGAAAGCTCCTTCTTATTTAAAGGTCTTTTGCGTACCTAATACACCCATTAGAACACAAAAAATTTAAAAGTTTCACACAAAATAATACACATGATATTCCATCATATGCCTTCAAATCACACAACAGGATCAGATGCCAAGATTGATATATGTTAAGACCCAAAGCATTCATATAGAAATTAGATACCAAGTCATCAACAACATGATATTAACCACACATATCCAACAATACACAAGCACAGCACTCAGCTGCGAAATGAAACACATACCACAACTTTAATCTTAGCCACATTAGTTTCCTTTGTGCTCTCCTTGTCACTCTGGGCTACTGGAACTGATGCATCTGGATCAGGTAGTACTCTTTGCTGCCTACCACTTGTCAAATTGAATTCATCATCAAATGCTTTACCACCAGGCATAAATGGTGATGGCTCAAAGGGTTCAGGGATGACATGCTGAACATGAAAACAATATTGCATTTTATTAACAAATAAAGCAACAGAGTAGGAAGTAAAAAAATATCCTAGGCAGACACAAAGCAGTCTCATTGATCATAACTCAAGAAAAAGGTAAAGAACAGACCCCAAGACAGTAAGAGTAGGTGAGGATTTAACTCTTTTCACTATGCAGCTATAAATATATATCACAAATAAACAAGGACCAATAACAAATAGGTAAAGGGAACAAAAATGATAATGTACCGGCTAGAATCAGAGATGTTACAAGTTTTACAAAGCAAATTTAAATTTAAGAACCTATTCACAAGTAAAATTCATATAGAAACAAAACCAGCAATCCAAGAGAAATTACCCTAACAAGTGAGTGAATTTCCAGGGAATCCCCATCAACCCATCCTGAATTCACAATTTAATTAAAATCTTCAGCTCATAAAAATTTGGCCACAAATTCAGACCAAATTATCATTATAAAATACTGATGTCACAACTTGATATTCCCAAGTGCATAACGGGTCTGAATTCCAGCACATATCACCGAATAACAACATGGAATGTTGTAAAGGAACTTCAAACAAAACGACTCAATGTCAGAGATTAGTAACCAATCTCGTCCTTTGACAGCACCCAGTAGCCAATCTCGTACTTCGTCATTATTGATGTTTTAAAACCAATCCATGCAGAACTTCCCAGCTAAGTTAAACACAGAACATTATGAATTTTTTAAATGACTATACCTCAGACAGAAGCTCTGTATCATCCATAGCATGAAGGTCCAACAGCCCAGCTCCAAAATCCCCCCTGAACTCCGGAGAATACAAACCATCCGATGCAGCCCCGCCTGAAGTTTGTGCTGTAGGTGTATATGGCTCAGAACCAGACTCCCCATTAAAATTGAGGTTTCGCATTAATTTTAAAAGCCTCTGTTTCTCTTCAGCAGATTGAGCGCCATAACCCTATTACAATATCAAACGCTTAGTCATCATGTAATTCTACATGAAAAAAGCGGATAAGATAGCACAATCTCATAGGCAATGGCTATGAATATAATACCTGCATGAGGAGATTGGGGAGCATACGGTTGTCGATTCCCGTGGAAGCCAATGGTGAGGCCAGATGCTGTAACCCAGCGGACTGGAGCCACCGGGCCATGACTGCATCACCAGCATCGCCGGCAGGCCCCGCATTGTGCAGAGGCCCGGCAGGGGCGCCGGTGGCGTGGTCGTACAGAGCAGTAGCCGCGGCGGCATTGCTCTGCTGCATCTGGCCACCCATGTGGCGCTGCGACCGTCTTTGAGGAGCCAATTTTCAAGATCTATATTCCAACAACCGCTGCACAAAAACAAACCGCACAAATGCATTTATATATACGTGCAATCCAAAAGGCATAAGAATTTCAACGAAATTATAGCATATTGATTTGCATGGGATCATATATACTCACGAGGTTGGGAGAAGTTGAATTCAAAGCAGGACATGAAAGTAAAATTCCAACGGAAATGCGATTCAAGTCCTCAGAATCTGCAATTCAACCGAATCTGATCTCAGAATCCCACGCCGAGCAACGTAGAAAATCAATCAGTTTCTCACATTTACGATTAAATGTACCGGAACAGAAGGAACCAAAACAATTACGCGACCAGGATCTGTGGCTTCTTAATAATCTCAAAAGAATGCAATATTGGGATCAGATCTGCAAACGAATTGGGAAAAGCAAAACCCTAATTCGATTGTAAAGAGTGAAGGGTGTGTTGGAATTTGGTTTCAGAGAAATGGGGGTTGAATTGATGATGGTAAGGGGCTCCACAGAAGAGAGAGAAAGTGTACGCCTTGCTTAGATTATAAAATAATCTTTCTGCGACAACAGGAGAGAGACTCAGAGAGCGATGTCGTTATAATTGTCATTTGGTAGATTATAATTTTTCAAAATTATTAAAACGGCTATTCGCACAATTGAATTAATTTAAAAAGACTGATACCCCCTCCAGGTTGTTGCTAATTTTCGGTTCGGAGCTCGGATGGACGGTTCAGAGCCTTCGGACGACAGACTGGAATAAATTTAATGTGAGCTGACGCAAATACCCTTGGATTTTTTTTTATTTGCTTGCCGCGGAAACTCAAAACGTCCACTCCCTCCCATCACCACCAACAATAATGAAATTCTTTTTTTTTTTTTTCTTTTTTCTCTCATGACCCGACAAAAATAAAAAGGAAATTTTCATTGAGGGTTGATGGGTATTTTTCTCCTTCTTTTTTTTATTTATTTATGGGGATAAAAGTGGAATATTAAGAGGAAAAAATAAAATAGGTCAATAAAAGTTTACAAATTTATAAATAAACCCAATTCTAGACATGTATTTATAAAAAAACTCAAACAATATTTAAACATAGAAACACACCCAAAATCAACAATTGTATATTTTTTGGGTGTGTTTATCAATGGAGTTTGAGTGTGTGTAATAATGGGTTTTGGGTGTGTTTATAAAGTGTTTTGGGTGTTGGGTTTTTTTATAATTTCAGCCCCCATTTCTAAAACAAGGAAAAAAAACACAATTCATTTCTCATTTTTCTCATTATTTTGCCTTTTTTTTAATTATTTTTGGGTGTTGCAAAATTACTATTATGGAATGAAAATGGTGTTTGAGGACATTATTGAGGTGGCTTGTCCTCCCTCATTTTTTGATGTAATTATTTTATTGTTTAGGGCGTGTTTGGCCTATTTGTAAATTAAGCAAACTGAGATTCATAGGATCTTGTCCGAAAATTAAAAATAGAAATCCTTCAACTAACAAAAACTAATACAACAATCCTAATAGGAGAATAGTATGTTTCAAGTTAAGAAATTATTGAAATACACTCAACCACCTCAAATCAAATGTCAAAGCAAACCCTTAATAGAATATGAAAACGAATCGGATAAAATAAAAGGCAATGTGCTAATCTTTTATCTATATATAGGCAAAAGGCAAAGCGTGTGGCAAACTTTCAAGCAAAGTTGAAGTTCCACTCAAAAACTAATTGGCAATGGGGGGAGTAGCCCAACTCCTTATAAACTCAGGCTAAGTCCCTTAACTTTTCAATGTATGATAAAATACTTTCAACAAACCCAAATTCGAATCCCTCTCATCATAATTTAGATTAAATTAAAATAATTTGATTAGTATATGTTGTGAAAAATAATAGTTTCGCTCTTTTCATAAAGCCAAATACAAAATATTTATATTATAAATAACATATAAACAAATTGAAAAGCTTTAAAGGTATAATGAAATTGAAGAAAACAAAATAATAGGGAAATAAAAGGAAAATAAATAATAGGTAAGAAGGTGAGTTTGGCATGGTGAAGCACGTCAAAGACGCTGTCCTAAAGCCTTTGTAGCCTCCCTACGTGCAGGTACTGATGGTCTACAAGACTCCAAGATACGACCCCTTGTACACAAACTTAAGATCCGCTATGAGCACGTTCATAAACAGATATAGGTATCCAAGTCACATAACCATTGCCCAAAATAATAATAATATAAAGTAAAGAATATATGTAAAAGTAGAAAAGGAAAGAATTAGTTTATGGTGGTGATTGTGGTATGTGATATTCTAATAGTGTATTGTGTTTCTTGTGTGTATATCAAATGTGAAGGAGGAGTGGCCTTTTATAGGCATCCAAAACATGTAACCTTCACCAACCA